CGATACAAAAACAAAAACAAAACAAAAACAAAAATTGGTTTCATTTATTGTTTAAGTTAAGAATTCCAATAGTAATCATCGGACAAGCCGCAATGTCGCAAGAGTCAATCATTAATTTCATTCAGGACGGAAAAATGATGAAAAGTGAGCTTATTCTCAACGTGTGAAAATTTAGCACCGCGCCCCGTGACGGAGCGCATGACGCGGAACCACGCGCCGCCCGCAAAGGCGTATCACTGTTGGAGGGCTCGGCCCGGACGCTCGCTGTACCCTGGTCTTGCCGTCGAGACCGTAGTCTCTCCGGAAAATCCTATCTCTCGGGTCAGTAGATAGGGACAAACCAAACCAAGCCAAATAGACAGTATAACTGCAGCGTCCTGAATGAGTTCTGTATTATTAACCATTCTTGTCAAAGAAGGATCTCGGCTACATATACAATCACTACGGCGATCAACTCCGAAGCGAGTACATTAAGTGACGCAGGGCCGCTAGACTGCTGCCCCCGTGCAGATTAAACCGCGCGTTGATGCAGATCTGCGTCTCCGCCACCGCGCGCGATTCCGCGTCTCGCGCATCGTCGCGGGGCGCGTTGCAGTATGTTAGGCAATTATCACACTGCACTGCGTCTCGCGACGGAGCGCGGAGCAGCGTTTTTTAACGTTGTACTGTAGTGCCTCAGTTTGTATGGAAAACACGCGCCATCGAACACACTGACAACGCTTCTCCGCGCGGGAGCGTGAAATAAACTACATATACATATAAGAACAGGCGCTTGTCATCTTTTCCATCAAAACATGGAAAAATACTGACATGAAGAGGCTATATGGTAGAACCTTTTTTTTAGTTACCCAAATAAATGGCGGAAATTTATTTTAAAAAATTACGAAAATATTTACAATTTTGATTTCGCTATAACTTCGTTATGATAGAGGTACAAATTTTCCAAGAATAAGTACTAAATAGTACATTTTTGGTACATTTTTTTAGTGCCAAATATGTATGCCAGGATTCGTTAAGATGCACACGGCACTCTGAAATCTCAATATATTTTGTCTTATTTCTCAAAAACTAACCAGCAGATCGAGCTAGTTTCCTTTACTTCGGAGTACTATTAAGGTACAAATGTTTAGAATAAGTTTTTGTAGTTATTAAATAAATACTGGTAATCCGAGGTACACTCACCATATTGACAGTCAATACAGCGGGTGTACCTTTGATATTGCTATAACTTCGTTCTGACGAAGGTACAAATTTTTTAAACAGATGTACTAAATAGTACAAATTAGGTACATTTTTTTGATACCAATTTGTCAGGATCCGTTAAGGTACACCCGCCATTCTTACTCACACCACACTGAAACGCGCGGTTGACGCGCTCGGAACTCTGTGTGGCCTGAGCATTAATGGTCCCGCTATATGGTTCAGCTTTACGAAAATTTGTCCAAGCCTAGTACGCGTATAGATTACAATACATATGTACGTTTATGCCTTGTTAAGAGATAATGATACTCAATTTGTAACCATTCGATTTGTGCAAGTTGACAAGCGGTGAAGCTTGGAGGTGTGGACGGGCGATTAACCCGTTAATCGGACACCTCGGAACTCAATCAATCAGTCGGTCAATTTCTCCAAATGGTTCAGTTTCCTCATCGGTCAAGTTGTCCAAAATTCAGCCTAATTAATAAAATGCATGCGGTATCACAAATCGCAATCGCCTGATAAAATTATCAATGAAAACTGATGGATTATGCATGTAAAGAAAAAACCGAGGACAGTATAGAAGACTTTGATTGAAAATAATTTCAAAATAGATATGTGGCTATACTATGAAAATGATCAAAACAGAAAACCACAGAAAAACAAGAAAATTAGACAATTTATAAAGAAAACAATACACTTTTTTTAAATTTTAATGTATTAAAAATATTTTGAGTAATTTCATAAATAAGGCAATTCACAAACGATTATTTATTATTATACCAAATCTAATTTCGAAACCTTATAAATTATATACATTTTTTTAAATAACACTAGCGACTAATTCAATTTGATGATTATTATGTCTTTACAAAGCTGGAATATGGTATATACAATATCTGGGAGCGTAGTAATAAAATTTTAAGGGCTTTAAGTATGGTCAATTTTATCGACAAGTATACCCCATACGAGGGTTGCTGATATTTTTGACAAACCTGTAAAATTGCGAGAATTTAACGAGTTCGTAGATTTTGCGATTGTGACAAATAGGAAATGAAACTATTTTTTCGGATCTAAATGCCGTGTCAGCCAAGACCATTGGACATGTAAACGGTTCGAAACGTTGATTACTTAAAAAAAAACGCCCGCTTTAGATGTGAAAAAAATAGTTTAAATTTAGATATGAAAAAATAGTTTAATTTCTTTTGCGAAATGTTTTCAATTCATCCTTTTTTTGTACACAAAAAGTTTTTGTTATTTTTAGTGGTTTATTTTCCTCGCGACAAGAGCATGGCTCTTAAATAAAATGAAATGAATTTTCCTAGCGGTGGTTTACTTTCTTAGCTTTCATATGAAACAAATTTTTAGTATGCATAGGTCTGAATCCATCTCGAAGGTGGCAACGGTAATTTTATTTAAATTAAATAGCTGTATTTTGAGGGGGACAAATTTAACCTTAGGTAACGACTAACGTCCTCGGACAGATTGATAAGGTATTTTATAGTCGGTCATTTTCGAAGACCAAATAAAATTACATTTTCAGAGTTGCCAGTTTTCATTAAAATTATAAATAGTCACGTGGCTGTTGTCGACTGTTTTATCGATACATTGTGAAAGGTAAAATTTTGTCAAAGACGTCTGAATTGTGAATGTTATAACGTGTAATGATTACTAATTTACTTTTCTATACAACATAATGGAGTAAATGAAATGACTATAACTAATTGCGTTACATTCTTCATTCCTATTTTGACAGTTGACCTATTAATATCGAAATCAATTATTATTCATATACATTTTTATGAAATGATTACGTATATTATTATTGAATTAAAGTGAAAAACTTTGAAATATGTCTCTTCTTTGTATTTTTAATAGACATACGTTCTAAATGTAGTGTACCGGTGCCCAGCGGTTGTGTATAGTATACCCGTGCCCAGCATTTGGACGAATAATGGGCTCATGATGATTCAAATGAAACAAGTTCGGCTATTTATTGCATAAGCGTAACCGACATTCAGTCGATAGTCGATAGAATATTAGTCGAATCACTAGCGTGCAAGCGGGCAGCACTTTTGCGCAATGAACCGTCATTTCATTCCATCTTCAAAAAAGACAGACTATAGTTTCATTACTATTATTCAGCAATGTCATAAAGAGACTGGATTCAGAGTCGTATTCCAGAACTCTACTCAATACTCAAGTCAGGACTTGAGTATTGCAGTGAGCACTGAAAATCATACTCAAGGCCTTGCCATTACGGTCGTATTTCCAGTGCTTGAAATCATACTCAAGTCTGCTCAAATCCTGACTTGAGCATTGAGTAGAGTTCTGGAATACCAGCATTAGTTTGTAACAGACGCAGTCAGCTTCAAGCTAGTCCGAGTGTTCAAATTGTTCGATAAAACTAATCTAACCCTTATCTGATCGATTTACTCTTAAAGTGCACTTTTGAAACTGAAATTCAGCTGCAAATAATTAAAAATGCACCTTAAACTCAGTGATAAAAGATAGATTTTTTTTTTTAAATGTTTAAACATTTTTGAACACAACGGTCAGATAATTAGACGCCGACTATTACAACCTTATACATTGCAAGTTATAAAATACACTAAGGCTCAACTCACACTGGTGCAGAATCGAAACGGCGCGTCGCGTCCTGTTTTTTAATTACAACTCCTGACGACACTCGCATTAGTGCGCCCGGATCACAGTGTGATCATAGGTGAAAAACATGACGCGTCGCGACGCTTGGACTCTGCGCCAGTGTGAGTTGAGCTAAATTGGAATTTTGCAGCTAATATAAGTATGTCTGTGTGTATACGCCCTTAAATATAAATGCAACATTCTGAATTTAAAAAGCCGCGTTTCCACAATGCAAGAAGCTCGCACGTGAGTACCTTGCATGCAAGCGAAGTTGCAACTTCGTACTAGTAGAATACACAAATGTCACATTATAAATAGATATATAATATAAACAGAACTACTGTTTGCCACCGCAGTATGCCGCCTCGATAAAACTATTATATCCACATTTAGCTGTCAAATTCGAGTGATAACCGGTATTTTAAAATTTTATCACAATAGCGAACATGGCGAGCACCGTGACGTCACATTTTTATGTAATCGCGAGCGCCGGCGACCAATGACTGCAAAAGATTAACATAGTGCCAAATATGGCTGCAACGTCACAGCTGATTTTAAAACATTTGCACAATAATTTTATCAACGTAAAAATTGAGCGCGACAAACGAAATGAAAAGTCATTTTTTGTTTCATGATTTTCGCGGCGATGATTAAACGACAAACATAATAACATAAGCAATTTCATATCGTTGTCCTTGTTCTTCAAAATGTATAACAATAGTTTATAACCAAACAAGTAAATGTAGCTTTGTCATTTTTTATGTCAGCGTTTTCGCGGCGATGATTAAACGACAAAGATAGTAATATATACGCAATTTTAAATTGTGGTCCTTGTTCTTCAAAATGTATAACAATAGTTCATTACCAAATAAGCAAACTTAGATTTATCAACTGAATTAAATATTGTCAAAGGGAGGTTTATCACACATATTCAACCATGCTATAATGCACAAGTGATAAGTGACGGGTCATTTTCAGATTACTTGTTAATTTCGGTGACAATTTTTATTAATTATGTATTCGAATATATTATCGTGAAATATTAAATTTTATTATTATTAAATTTATATTAAATTTTATACTCAGTCAATCGTGACCACGGAACCTGTAAAGGGCCCGAAACGTCGGTTTGTTTGAAAAAACAAATATACGCGACTTAAATCCGGAAAAACAGTTTCATTCCTATGTGTAACAACCGCGAAAACCTAAGAACTCGAAGTTTATTATTTTTATTACTATCGCCATAAACATCAATGGCGAGTACATCACTCACCTTCCGATTTGCTGACGATATCGTGATCATGGCAGATTCGTTGGAAGAGCTTGGCACCATGCTCGGTGACCTCAAGTTTCCTAGCAGGTGGGTCTAAAAATGAACACGGACAAGACGAAACTTATATCAAATGTCCATGTTGTACCCACCCCTTTAACAGTGGGAACCTCTACTCTCTAAATTGTTGACGAATATGTTTACCTCGGAGAAACCGTCCAATTAGGCAGGGTCAATTTCGAGAAAGAGGTCAATCGTCGAATCCGACTGGGTAGGGCAACTTTCGAGAAGCTTCGGGACGTCTTCTTGTCGGCAATACCGCAGTCCTTGAAGACAAAAGTTTTGGGGCAGTGCATGTTGCCAGGGATGACCTTCGGCTCTGATACGTGGTCACTTACTATGGGCCTTATAAAAAAGTTCAAAGTCATTCAACGAGCTGAGGAGCAAGCAATGCTCGGCATTTCTTTACTTGATCGAATCAGAAGTGAGGAGATCCGTAGAAGAACAAAAATCACCGACATAGCTCGTAGACTTAGCAAGTTGAAGATAGCTCGTAGAACTGACGGCCGTTGGGGCAGAAACGTTTTTGAATGGAGACCACGAACCGGAAGGCGTTCAGTCAAACACATAGCTGTGTTTTCACGTCCATTTTCGATTTGCCGAACTTGCACTGAAACAGTGGCAACGCGTGTTCAACGTCCGAAAAGTGCCCGCCATGTGTATATTTAAAAACCTAACTAGGGTTGAACGCTTCTTATGTGAACATACCCTTACTGTGTGTACTTTGGCGTGTCTGCTACTAGCTTGCAAGTGTTTCAGGTAGAGGCATGCACATTGTGGCCATAATGGAAACGCACCTTTATTACATAAAACTTAACTAGCTATATACAGCTTACTTGTTAAAAATTACTGACACAATCGTGTTGATTCTAACGTTCAGGTCTTAATCAAGTAAACAGGTAAACAGAGAGTCAATGAGGTGAGCATATTTTTAAGTTTTTCAATGAGTTTAGCTTACATTTTAGAATCAACACCATTACACGACTAGGTACTAATAGAAAACCTTTAAGGGGGGTGGAGGATTGGCAGTTATAAAACAAGGTAGGTACCCTATTTACCTCATCTTTGAAGTACAGAATATTAGAGTTATGCTTACATTATCTATGGTTTACATATTGCAGTAACAAATATTCTTTTCAACCCTGAAATGGCAGCCCTGGACCGGTAGTCAGATCGACTAAGTGTTGATTATCATAATAACTGCTCTTTTACGTTTTACAATATAATTGCGATAGTTCACGTATTATATTGCCTATACAAGAAAATGACAATAGGTTTACAATCCAATTCATTGGTTTGACTAACGCCATCTATAAAAGAAGGACGAAAGACGGAAACCATCAAAACGTCATATGCTTAGAAGTAATAAGAATTTCACTATAGATGGCGTTAGCAGAAGATTATATCAATGTCCTCATAACTCTGTATTGAAGAGACTCGGACACATAGAATATTCATGCGTGGAATTCTACTGATAATACCAAGGCGCAAGAACCATACTTCAGGGTGTAAAAGTAATTTGTCAGTCACACGTGTGTGGCGTTACGTATAAATGAGAGATAAGACGGATACAATCTGTTGTGATGTTTTTTTACGTCATGTAGTTGAAATGTGCGGTATAGAAATGAATTTATAGAGTGACCCGTGTCCAAGTGTCGCACTTCACTCGTCGTTGTAGGTGATGTACGCGCTGAGGTAGTCGCCCTGCGCGTCCAGCAGCAGCTTGGGCTGCGGCGGCAGACAGGCGGCCGGCGCCAACGACGCCGCGTTCAAGGGGGCTGCGGCCGCCTCCAGCTCCTGGCAACGTCGTAACCGCGTTTAAGGAGACTGCTATTATAACTGTGGCATCACAGGACATTTACTCAAATATTTTGTATGCGCGTAAAAATATACATAATTTCATTAAAAGAAGACATCCACAATATTAACCTTAGAATTAAGTCCAAACTCATTGTACCACGATTTCGTTTAACTAAGGTTAACGATTATTTTATGGGGAACTGTATACGTTTTTACAATAAGATTCCTGAGTATATATTAAGAAGATTATCACTTCCTAAGTTTAAAATTTACATAAAAATATTTTAGTTGAAAAGTCATATTACAAAATTGAAGAGTATTTGTTAGATACAGATGTATGGAAAGACATCGTGACTCGAGATTCCACGCAAATATGATTCAAAGTGTATTCCATAACATTTAAGTTTGTTTGAAAAGAGCAATCCCTCGAGTTTCTCGTTCGTTCCTCTCAGCGAGGTCAGATTAGTAACGAGCAGTAGCTTAAAAAATGACGTTTTCAAGTGTAAAAATTTTGTCTATGGAATAAATGATTATTTGTTAGTCAAAGTCAAATTTGAAAGTCAAAGGACTTTGCTTTTAACGGTGCTTTTTCTTTGAAAAAAGTGCGTACCAAACTGATCAATTGTTTTATTGAATCTTTATTTATTTAGTTTTGATCGTTATTGAACAAGTCAGCCCCATTAGAAAAACGGTACATCAAGAAAACACTTAATAAAATCAACTTTTAAACTGCCTCCGTGTTCGAACGGTTACCATGTATACTGCCACGCAGAGGTCCCAGGTTCGATTCCCGGTCCGCGAGAAATATTTGTATGGCCTACATTTATTTCTCTCGTGAGCTTGGGTGTAATTTGTGGTTGTCTATGTGTGTGTCCATGGCACCCGCGACACAGGGTTTCCCTAGTGCGGGGCTATATTGAGTGTATGCGTTATTGTTATTATTATTATTATTAAAATCCAGACAGATAAATGAAAATACTACCTAACTAAATATGTATAAAAACCCTCACGTATACAATTTTTCGATACCAGAATTATTAGACTATATAATATGCTTGAACTCTATTAGATTTATGTACAATAAAAAAAACTTACTACTTTTTGTTTGTTGTTATGTGAAACGATAATAAAAATATTATTATTAATAATATTATTTAATAATAATATTGTCAGAAAAATCTTGTTGAAATTATCCCGTGTGCAGTGCAATGCTTTGCCTGCCGTGAGCCATAAAATGTTCAACTATAATATAAAAGCCAGTCTTCATCTAAGGTTTAAATAGCGCACGATGGGAATCGACCCCATGACTATTTTAATATTTTCTAATTGATATTTGGAAACTTAAAGTATTTTTTTAAATCATTTTTTTATTTTAAATATTTAACTGGAATTCTCAAAGTTTTTCAACCAAATATTACCACAACCAGTAAAAAAAAATAGACTTATGTTTTAGGCCTATGTATTATGTAGAAGTTCCAAGTTTTTGGAAGAAAATTCTCATTCTTCAAAGTATAGTTGGTACGAATAGTGCGAATAAGCATTCCTTTTACATAAATACATCACGCCCTGTTTCCCAGCGGGGTAGACAGGAACAGTCCGTCGGTGAACTACAATAGAAACGTACCTTCCGTCGCTTGCGGTTTTTCTTGTCCCATGGCGCGTAGGGGATTTTGAGATGCACTGTCTGGATGTGCAGCTTCACGGCGCTGCTCTGCGTGAAGCGTCTGCTACAGTGCTGGCACTGGTAGCGCTTCTCACCTGTATGTACCTATGCAGAAGGGCAAGCAGTCAAATAGAGTTCAAGACCGCGCAGCTAGACAAGAGCCTAACCGCCTATTTTATTAACCGACTTCAAAAAAGGAGGAAGTTCTCAATTTGGTTGTACGTCTTTTTGTATGTGTGTTACGCGATAACTCATTGTAGCATTTGCGGCATTTGTGAACCGTTTTCGATGATTCTTTTCTGTCGAAAACGTGATAACATTTAAATTTGAAAAAAATATTTCATCTCTAAGGGTGGCAAACTAGGGAATGAATCCGGTTTCGCACTTTCCGGTAACCGATTTCTATAAAACTTTGCAAATAGATGTAATTCCACGAAATTTTGAGGTCGGATTTTTAGTATTGTGTACAAAGATTATAACGTAACTAGTTTTCTTCGTATTTTTATTTTTGTTATAATGTTTACCTAACGCAAATGTTGTGTACAATTATAATGAAATGACAGATTTATATTACTTTTTAGTAGTTTATATTACGTAGTATTATCTGAAGTGCCGTGTAAAATCAATAAACATTCCATTGTGTATACCTCCTATATTGCTAATGTATAATAAAACATACTTACAACAAGATGTCGGTCTCTATTGCTGGGCATACTGAAACGCCGGCCACAATGCGGGCATCCATAAGGCTTCTCATTTGTATGTGTTCGCATGTGCACCATCAAGTTTGCGTATTGCTGTTGGACAATGAGACGGTATATTATTCCTTTTTTCATGACACTTACTCACAGGCAGCCATTACCGGTCAGCCACATTGGATTTGTAAAGTGAACGTTACAGAAGTAATTTTTTTCTTCGTACAGTACCGGTTCACCATATTGGATTTGTAATGGGAACAAACATTACTCGTACTTAACTAGGTTATGTAGCAATATTTATTTTTTGTAATTACCGGTCCGCCATATTGGTTTTGTAAGGAAACCGAACATTGCTGCTACATTAACCGGTTCTATAACAAAGGCAATTTTTTTGCTGCGTAATTTCATTATTCCTTATCCCAAAGCCAGAGAACAAAAAAATAAGAGAATGAATACTCTCCGCCCCTCCCTAGACTTAGATACCGCACCACACCCCGCACATTGACGGTCACATTGACTGAACGACAACAAGGCTGTCGGCGAGCCGTTTTCGCGCTAAGACGGCTTTGATATTTGAATATAGTTTTCATTTATTCATCACGAAACTTGTATGTTAATATAAAACATCATTTTACGTTACTATTTATAATGGTCATCTAAACGGGATAAAGAGAGCAGTTCCTTTCGTTTTCCGAAAGATGAGACGAAGATGACAAAAACATTTGTCTGAGACTCAGTCAGATAATGTTTTCTTCGCTTATTTAGTGCAGAGTAACGCACAATACAGATTTATTAAATCAATATAATGAGACATGGCGTCTTCAACTTCGTGAGTTAGTAGACAAAGGTTCTCGAATTTTCAATTTGTATTGCCGATAAGTATTACGTAGTGAATATACCTAATTATTAACCAGGTAATGATAAACTTGGACACGCAATTTCAAATACCTTGGTTACCTTATTTAAAACCTGTCCAAAATACAAACTTTTAAATGCTGTTAATATATTTTTTAAATAAATCTTCAATATTATTCTAGTTAGTGAATAAATGAAAAATATAATATTATATCGATATAAATACCTAATGAACATGTGTAATTATTAGGATTCTTTTAATAGAATTAAAGATAACAGATACGCGTAAGAATTTTCGCTGTGTTGCCGCTCTGACCGCGTAACGTAAATTGTACGAGAATGTGATGGGTAACCCTGTCACTTCACGCACACATTTGCGCGTGTGCAGATAGCGCCTTGCTGTATGTAGTATAAGTATGTAAATAACTTTCGACTGTTGTATGGAGTGTCCGAGGTGTGCCCAAGCTGTAAATAGTAAACTAAAAAAAATTTAAGACTTGCCCTCGTGGTGTGTCCACACACGTCGCACATGTACCGCTTAAGGAATTCGTGTCCCGGATGTTCAGCCTCGTAGTGTTTGCGAGCTTGCACGTCGTTAGACAGGAACTTCCCACACTGGGTTACCACAAAATTCATAAAGTTCATTATGCCATATACAAGTTCCGCGACAATGTAAATTGAGCTCTAATGACGATCAGTTTCATCCTTAGATATTGTATCGTTTATACGAGATATTTGATATCTGTAAAAAAGGGTGGCCGCTTATTATATTGGGTGTTTATTTTACACGGTATCAAGTGACAAGACGAAAAAGTCTTGCACCTAGTAGTAAAGGAGTAGTGATACGCCTGCCCACAACAGTTGCAGTGCCACTCCGAGTTTTAAATCTCAAAGACCAGAGGAGAACTGTCATTGCACCCATCACGCTGAAACGTGCTCACGTTGCTACATGGCGGCAGAAATAATTAAGTTAGTACTTCCCAGGACGAATTCTTTCACAAAGTGTCTGTTACGACATAAGATTACTACTCACCACTTCGCAGTGAGTGGCCGTAGGCACGCCGTTGTTGATAATGTCGGAAGAGCCGTTACCCGGGCGGCCGCGCTTGCGCCGCTCGCCGCCCTTACGTGTCCTCGGCACTTTTATCGACCTATACAATTTAAGTTCATTATTGAGTAATCATCATTGATACAAAGATCGAACAAATATAGAATTCCTTCGATCTGATTGGACTCGAAGCAGCGTCTGTCGCCTCAACGTGGCTACCGCTCTTACCAACTAAGTTACGGAAAGAGCCAGCAGATCTTACGAATTTCTCTGTTTGTTGCGGATCTCTGTTTAAACGGTTTTTATTGCCTTAGCGCCATAATAATAACAAACTAGTGGAGTATATCCAATTAATAAACGAATATCAAGATAGTAAAAACATCTGATTTCTATTCTCACTCCTTCACTGTTCACGCGGTCAGACTTTGGAATGCACTTCCTATAACTGTTCACGAAAGTAAATCGTTAGCTATTTTTAAAGTAACAGTTAAAGAGCATTATTTATCTACTGTTCCATCCATATCTTAGGTATTATATTATAAAATATGAATTTATCTAAGTATTTTTATAATTTATAACAGTTTAATATTATTATATTATTTTTATATTACATTTTTTTTAGTTGTGCACGTATAATCAAGCAATCCCCGTTTCCGCCGAGGCTTATATAGTGCTTTTCTCAGACAACGTGAGGAAATAATAAAAGACTCAAGAGAGGAAAATATATAAGCAGATAAAGTATAAAAATATTAAAAGTAATATTTGACACGTTAGGACAATATTGTTAAAAGAAAATGTTTTTATTTTCCCAGTCACATTAATAGTAGTCTGCTGAACTTCTAACTGTATTTTCGTTATCGCTTTCCTCACTAGAACTCATTTTCGCCAAAGAAAAAAAAAGAAAAAATCAGAAAGAATACCAAAGCACTGTAGTAGTAATAGTAAAATTTTTCGTCCTTCCTAAGCCATATTGCCAGATTTTACATTTTAAGTTTTCTTTAATCCAATTCGCTTCGGTTTATTTTACCACCACTTTCTTTTTTTTAAAGTAAGCGGTGCAGTATGATGTTCATTGCATAAGTTTATAGTAAAACTCACGTATTAGTAGTAGCGTGCTTGCTAGAGCTGCCAAGATGTGTTTTATAAGCCGCCTCATTCATGAATTGAACTTTGCACTCTGCACAGTAATGCGGGTTCTCTAGGTCTGTCAATATTGCCTCGCTTGTTTCTATTTCCTAAAATCATAGACAATCAACCATAACAACAGAAATGTATTTTTTTTATTCAATCAGAATGAACTGCTGCGTTCGGAGATCTTCAACGAAGATTTAATGAAGTCACTTTAAATTAAATACCTGTGCACTATGGGCGAGTTTCTTGTGACAGTAGAGGCCATTCTCGCTGACAAAACTATGACCGCACAAAGTGCAGATATACATCGACGGGTGCTTGATACGGATGTGAGTTAGGCGAGTTGATGCTTTACTGAAAAGATATAAAACTCAATTTATAATAAAAATTTTGCCGTTTCCAATATACACTTTACTACATTGTATACGGTAGTACACGAAAAGAGTGAATGCGTTTTATTACACTTTAAACTCGATGGCAACACAGAACAATAATTACTTTCTACATATCTTTGTCTCTAATATTTCGACTGAATTATTTGAATCCAAGGTTATGAAATAAATTATAAAATAAAGCCAAACCTAATGCACAGCTTTAACATACATGTTAAACTGGCATACATGCCAATATACATCTTATTACCTACTCATCTACCACATCCTTTTTCATTCAAATTCCGTACCTTTTTCATAATCTGTAATTCTGTTTACATAACCTTTTGATTGGCTAAATGCGTTGGCAAAGCCATTAAATATTAAAAAAAGAACAGGCTGTATTACTAAGAAGCATTTTTTTCTAAACAGACAAAAATAAAGAATATGTTCGAATAGAAATAATTTGAAACGAGTAAGGTTCCTTTCTTGTTGGCGCGGATTATAACTCCGCATCTATTATTATTAATTCGTCGTCGTTTAGATACTGACCGCTAGATGGCAGCACATTTATTGAAATATCAATGTGCTGCGAATAACTTGCAATAATAAGTATTGAACTTTTCGCAATATGACAACAGAGTAAAGTTTAAATGGTATTCACAGTCCAGAACTTGTTACATCTTCATAAACTAGAAACTACGACCAATCATTATCAAGATTTCATAGTTTTAAATGACGAATGTGAGAGTTCTGGAGACAGGGGTTCTGATAGTAATCGAGTTTAAAGTATTGTTTTCTTTTCTTCCGTGTAATAGACGATTTTTTTTTATTCCTGAATATATGTAGTTTATACGAGTTAATAATGTATCATTTCATTAAAAAGTACGGGTTATGAATTTGCATTAATAGGAGTATCCGTTGCAAGTGAATTAAATTTAAAAATATAAATTCGTGTTTGTTCGTTGACTCCAAGACATTGGCTACTCAAAAAGTGACTTACGTAAACTCTTTGTCGCAGTGCGGGCACTGATATTTGACGTTTTTATGCCACCTGTAGTGCATATGTGCTTGTCCTCTGTAATAAAAAAAATGTAATAACGATACGTACATAAATGGCAATACAATTATATCAGTCATCCTTTACAACACTCATTTATAAATTCAGAAGTTATCCATGTTAGTAAAAATGGAAGTATATTACTTTGCTACTCAAATACCTCCTTCTCTTTGAAAGGTAGTAACTATAGTAAGATTGTTTACTCGTTGCAGAGTTCGCCATAAATAATCGGAGCGGGACTGTGATATTGCGCTCTCTCTCCCACTTGCGTAGTGTAAAAAGAAGCATGCGCAATACCGTTATTGATAAAAACCAGACAACAATAAATACAGCAGAAGTACTTAGTTGGTGTGACACGTGTGCCAACAGTACGTAGAGTTCCATGTACTTGAGCTCTATGGCTCGATGGCTATGTTAACAATCTCGCGCAAAACCTCGAAAATCGTAGAAAAATGCCTTATTTCGCTACTTTGGAATTCAAAAATGATAGTCGTAGTGATGTTTCATATCATTTTTTTTTTGTTAATTTTAATTTTCTGTTTATTGTAATATTTTTTTTGTTATATCGCTGCAATACGGTCGCTACTTTTTTGGAGAATTAAGTAAACATATCGAATTCGTCGTCGTTCAGCTATTGACCGTTAGATGGCAGCACGTTGATTGAAATTTCAATTATAAATATATAAAATAAAAACACCGTAACTTGCAATAGTAGGTATTGAATTTTCAACGATATGTCAACAAGTAAAGTTAAAATTATATTAACAGTCCAGAATTTGATACATGTCTATAAACTAGAAAGAAAACTACGGCCAATCGTTATCAAGATTTCATAGTTTTAAATTACGGATGTGTGAGTTTTGGCGACAGCGTTTCTGATAGTAATCGAGGCTTAGGGCACTTCCATTGTTTTCTTTTCTTCATTGATAAAAACAATGAAGTCACTGAGGGCGCGCGATTTATGTTTACTATTCTTTAAACTTCGCAACCTTTTCATTTTAATACCATTGTTCACCAATAGCGTGTTACATTTTTTGGTGAAAATTAAAGATGCCGCGAAATTATGAATTATTAATTTGGCACGCCTGCGTGACTTTACTACCACTTAATTACTAGTTTCAGGTGTTTAATGTAAATTTCAATATGTAATTCGTATTGTATGTATTTGAAAAATAAATTATTTTTATTTCGGTTCCTACTTTCCCTTTTACAACAAAATTAAATGTCATCTATATCGACAGCATTTATTATCAACTGCAGTAATGCACAGCCCTGCAATGCCCGTACCCTACTGGTAAGTGGGAAAGAGAGCGCAATAGCGCTGTCCCGCTGCAATAATTTATGGCCGAATCACTAAAGCGAGAAACTAATTTTACTATAATAAACTTTTCCTAGCTTGTCATGACTTGGTATATTTTCACCAATGTAGAAGAGATATTTAATGCTTGTTTTTAAACTAATGCCGTTTTTTATCTTATACGAGTATACAATACAAAAGTATCTACAATATCCGCTTTCTTTCAAACAATCTATTTCTTTCAGCTCATAACAAAGTGTTTCTCTGTTGAAAGGCGAATTATCAATTGTATTTTTTTTATATGACGCCACTAGAATTACTTTAAAGTTGTACGGCAATTGGGCGGGTGAAACTGATCTTGATCAAAGTGTACACATTGAGGGTTATCAGTTTCCACTACGAACCGATCGCAGAATCACAGTAGACAGTAAAACTATTTCCGGAAATCCGGAATTCGAAATAGTTAAATAAGATTTCATGGTTTTAACCACAATATGCAATCCGTGTATCTATAGTAGACATTTATCTACTCAATTAGAACAGACTATTTCGGTCATGGTAATTATACAAACCTATTATAGCAGACGTAGGAGCACGTCTGGCACGAATACTTGAAGAGATGTGTAATGTTCATATGTTTGTATAGCTTGCGCGTGTCACGGAAATGCAGTTTGCACATGTCGCATTGCAATTCACCCGCGAACTCCTGGAAAAAGCGGTAGCAGCAGTTAGTATTCAATACAATACAAATATAGCTTATTGCACACAAGAAAAAATACATTTCCTGGTGATCTGTAACAGAGGCCCTCAACTTAGTACAGACTCCAGCAGGCTGATTTTAATTCAAATTGGAATCTATACGATCGGGTAGCCCATCCGAGTGTCGAAATCAGACGGGTTTCCGAGCTAGAAGATAAAACTGATTACTACTATATCTTTCTAATTTGCGAGTTGAATCAATTATTGTTCCGATTTTAAATGTTAAAACTTTCCGTTCGGCCAGTGGTGAATCGCAATTATGCGTCTCGACTCAGAAGAGACGCAGTTTTCGATCGGGACAGGCAATCAAAATCAAGCTGCAGCTCTCACTAAGGAACTTGTATTTGATATGTGACGTAACTACTTATAGACCTTTCTTCTAATTAAATTATGAGAAATGTCTATAAGGTTTATAATATTAAATATTCCTTATAAAAACAAAAGACAGTTACAATAAGTGACATTATTATTGCAGGATAAATATTATTATATTCGTGCCTAACCTATCATAATATCTATAAATATGACAAAAATCAATTTTACTCCGTTATTAACAAATACGTTTCAAACGCGCAATTAATGTTAAGACTATTTAAATCAACTGTTTTTGAGAAAACAACAAAAAATGTTCTGTACAATCGCTTAAATCCTTCTGATACTGTGCAGACTTATATCTAAAGTCCATTTAGCACATATATTTAGCAGCAAGTACCGCGATCTGTATGAAAACCAAGCTACATTTTGTGTATCTCTGATAACGTCATGGGAAACCTCATTCTGCACAAAAGCCGTGGGTGCAACGCGTGCTTATAGTAATGATGTTTCAAGTATTTCTTTGTTGGCCACCTTTGTACATACGTGCGTTGATATCTTTTTAACCGACTTCAAAAAAAGGAGGAGGTTCTCAATTCGACTGTACGTTTTTTTTGTATGTATGTTACGCGATAACTCCGGTATTTGTGTACCTCCATAGTGGTCCTATTTCATTTTCAAGAAAATCATCCACTTCTAAGGGTGGCTGATCACGTATGAACATTCATTTTTATAAATAGCGCCTAAATTTTACTTAAGGAGCAATTATTTTAATGGCTGGTTTTGCTAATCTCCAATTCAAGGCGTTTTTGTCTCTCAATATACTTTGAGTAGTGAGAACCGATTTTTATTATCTCTTGTGTCAAGTCCTGTATAGTGGTTAACTAGGGGATATTTCAATAAAACTTGGCAAATAGATGTAATTCCACGTACTTTTGAGGTCGGTTTTTTTAGTACTCTGTACTGAGATTATTTTCACATTGATTTTATTGAATATCAATATTTTTTAATGCCATGATATTCACAATTATATTCTTGTGAAATAACTCTACGCGTTAGTTATAATTGTTAATACAAAGTTCGAACACAAGAAGACGAGGAGACTTATTCAAGAGATCAACTTGTGTTAGCTGTAAAGGTGCCGGCTGAGTGAGTCACAGGTTCGAGTTTTGACTATTTGGTTATATGGCTATTTGACAAACGTGCAAGCATCCTCTCAGACAACCTCCACCTCCGTTGCTGCATTTTGTACAAAATTATCACCATTTAGAACAATCTATTGACATAATTTTTATTTTTGTATGAGAGTAAAATGTGATGAATTATAAAACGTCATAGACCAAGTTGTTGTTTATGATATTAGTAATATACTTCCGGACACATAATTCGAGCCACCTCTAGAAATTTGAATTTGCAAAACCTGGGGAAAACCCCAAATGCAAATCCAAGTTTCCAACAATTAATGGAAAAGACGTTTAAGTATACTAATTTCAAAATTGCTTAATAGTTTTTGATCAATCAAACATTGTTTAAGCTTAGGGCATTTAATACTGAGGGTCGTATTCCAGAACTCTACTCAATACTCAAGTCAGGACTTGAGTATTGCAGTGAGCACTGAAAATCATACTCAAGTCCTTGCCATTAGGGTCGTATTTCCAGTGCTTAAAATCATACTCAAGCCTGCTTAAATCCTGACTTGAGCATTGAGTAGAGTTCTGGAATACGACCGTGAAAATGCGAGGTGGCTCGAATTATATATAGCCCTATGAGATTGTTAGTATTTTAGAAAATGATCCTGTATACCCAGCTCCATATGTGCGACTCAAGTGAGCGAGATAAATATATTGCCATAATTGAACACCCCGTGGGTAAAGGTGAGATAACTTACCGGATCATGTTTCCTCATATGCTTGGCGTACGTATTAGGTTCTCTAAAGCCACGGTAGCAGAATTCACATTTGAATGTCGCCTCTAAATAGTTCCGCGATTTACGTCGTTCTTGCACCAACGCGTATTGCTCTTCTTGGCTCACAGGGGAATATACCTGCGAAAACAATTTTTTTAAACACATTCCCTAATCACATAGATCTAAAAACTGAGCGATTTAACGCTGTGAGTGACATTGCAAACAGGTATGGGTACAGGCCCACGACTTGCTCGTACAGTTACTTGACATTCATAAAAAAATCGTATTGCTGGTTGCAGTGATGAAGGGAAATCAAAACGAAAATGCACCCTATATAAATTTACCGGAAAATCTTCAGGCAGTTTGATAATCTTCCTAACGGGTCGTATCGTGACGACGCCCTTGATACGCTTGCCACCCTTATTGCTCAGCCACGAAGGTCGAGATTCATACCAGTTTGCGTGTTTTTTACCGCCCTTTTGTAGATGCGTCCAGATAAAGTGATGTTTCGCTGACATTCTGCAATTATTATACAAAGGCTGATGTGTTAAATTAAGCCATTTTGTTCAGAAAAGGTTTTCAACTGACAACATACACATATTAAAAGTCAATACCATCACTAGTGTTCTAAAAAAATTTTAGTAACCGCAATAATCTTTCAATAACCTTTTGTCTCATGAGTTTTCCAACCCTGACGTTGGCGGAATCGTCGCATAAAATGACGGAATCATATGTACCTAAAACTTTACTTGATCATCATTTCAAAGTCAAAAGGTTACTTAAAAACTGTATAAACCATACGTCTCCATGTCTCTTTTAAAATGGGTGTATTCAAGCTTATACACTGTGCAATTTTAATTACCTGTGAAAATTTAAATTTGTTCCTACAAAATTACGTAGCTTAGATACCGACTGTAAACAAACATGGCGCTCATAGAAAAAAGTTATTTTATTACATTTGCAAATTATCCTGCAAATACATAATAATTTAACTACACAATAGATAGTACAAATACTATACAACAGAGATGGTGTAGTAATGAAAGTTGGAGTGAAATGTCATTTCACTGCTTTTCAAGAATAGTGTCCCAACCCAAAATTGATCCTTTTTTTATTTATTACTGAGTACAGAAAATAGATATTCAGAAAATTGTTCGATGTTTCTATTAATATTTATAACAAACTTGTGGAATAATTTCACAGAAAAACAATTAAATATCATGGTAGTACAACAAGACATTTCAAAATTTATTCAGAAAATGAAAATATTTTATTGTGATTGGGTTCCAAGCTTTCCATTGGTTAGATTAATTATACGACAACATTGGGATGGTCTACGATTCGTCAACTTTGGGCGGCAGACTGTTCTTAGCTTTTTTCAAGCCATCTTCCTGATGAATTAGATGATTTCGAAATAGGCCACTATACTAGGAAGCCATCGATTTGATTCAATGTGCAAGCCTAATCAGCCGATTATCACTATTTTCTTTGTGCTTTGTTGGGGTTAAAAAGTGGTAAAAGTCCTATTGTAACCAATTACTCTCAGTGGCATAGAATCTTGATCAAACATTTTTGTATTGTTTTGTTTTCTTGGGTGACATAGAAATTAAATTAAATTTAAAAACTCTGAATACTTGACTGCAATAATGTCCATCATCAGGCACTAAGAGTCAATATTTCACAACATTTTATGTTTATTCAATAACAAAAAAATTTCAAATGAGTTATGAGAATTAATACGGGCTACCACAAATATTAGTTTCTTTTAAATATATTGAGTTGTTAGGTTTTCGCGATTGCTAATTGCTGGTATGGAAACTATATTCTCAGAATAAATTGCATATATTTGATTTGCAAACAAACCAAATAAGTCCATTTTAAAGATAACTTTTAAACAATGGATCAATGTGAATAGCAAGAAAACACTAACCTGTCAAAATTGACTTCAGGGCATTTCCTACAGACATATTTATACATGTGTTTCTCAGTCATATGAGTCTTGAGCAGGAACTCGGTCCTGTAGTAAACATCGCACAACGTACATAAGAATGTCCCACTTATATGCTGAAAGAGAAATACATAAAGAAAATTATGAATATGTCAATTTTAATCCAAGTCCAATCATGTAATTGTTTAATCACACCATTTCATTGTTTAACATTTGTTGATGCCAAGCATTTGTCTATTCTATATAAAAGCAAAAAATTGCTACATTTTCATAACCATGCCATACTTTCTCAAACTTGTATCTTATAAAGGGTGATATTCGGGAGATGGCAAATTTTTTATCGAGGGTAATAATTTGGATGCATTACTTTAAGAATAGGCAAAAGCCAGTGTGTGAATATGAAGGAAATGTGATGTGAAATGAGCCTGTATAATTTGTATATACAATCCATTTTTTGCATTTCAATTTTTTTTTTGACTTCGTATCAATTGATTTCAAAACTTTAATTGGTGGTGTAAGCATTATCTTCTTAATATTTTATTAAAAAGCCTTAATAATAACACACATATTTTAAGATGAAAACATTCCATTGTTCTCATTAATAGTAAAAACACAAAAAATATATGAAAAATTATTTTTAAAAAATCTTACAGTATCATGCATTCTTTGATGTGCAATTAAACGATTTTCATTTTGAAAAGTCTTCCCGCAATTACACCGATACTTTCCTTGACTGAACATTTTGTACACCTCCACAGCAGCCTGAGCCTCTTTTAACGATATTGGTATCATATTTGCATATTCCTCATCTAAATTAGATCCATCTACGTTGTCCTTCGTTTTACATAATACGTCAAATTCATTTTGTCCATTATCACTGTCAAAATTGTTATCGTTATCAAAGTAACATTCCATATCATTGGCATTATTGGTGGCAGATGATTGTTCTAAATTAGTTACACTTTTCTTATCATTGTCGGATGCTTTTCTTTGGAAGGATTCATCAGTTTCATCAGCTTCCACTTTTATAGAGTCCTGTGGCGAATTAAGTTTAGCTTTCTTTCTAGGCACTTCAAATTCATTTTCTAGAGGAAGCGTACTACAATGAAAAATAGGAATATCTTCAACTGAGCTTATGCTAAGACGATTGCGTTTTATCCATTGAAATTTCACTTCTTCATACAGTGTTCTATTCAAATTTAAGTAGGAAAGTGATGAATTTAGTCCTATTTCTTCGCGTTTGATCAGATTTAGCGTTGACAAATTTATCTGAAATTTAATTACACAAGTAATAAAATATTTATAAGTAAACTTAACTAAGCCATTAAACCATTTATTCGACTAAGGTTACTTGCAATACATACCTCTTTGCTAGTTTTTAATAAGGTTTTTAAAGTAAAATGTGCTCGTTTACACTTGTCCCTGAATGCTCTGAAACGCTTCACGTGCGCTGAGCACTCCACGCACAAATATTCGGGCATTCCTTCACAATCCATGGCCTAAAAGTGTACGAACATTTTTTCACAGATATATCAATAAAAGTTGCAATTTAAAAAAGGCATCGATTTCATGGAGTTCCCTAAGAACTTTGTGAGCTATAAAATCATTAAAGGTAACCAAAATAATCGAAATTTCACTCAAAACTGTACCTTTAGTCCTGACAATAAATAGTAATCTAGTTTCAAACTGGCAGAGTCCATTTTGAATAATTTTCTAGCGGTGCTGAGGCACACCGTACAAGCCTTCAAATCCCACATAGTGCTGTTTAAATTTGATCACCTCATTCTAGTGGAATTTTAATTTTTCTGCATACACCACTCAGCGAAAAGACAATGACAGACAAGCAAACGCAGCCTGTAAACCTAATTTATGCTAATGTTGGCTAACTTGTTTTGCTTGTCAAAGGTTTGACAACATATTCTTTTTCTCATAGTTTGGCACTATGGCCTTTGGCCATTTGACAACATATAAAAACATTATTTGAAAACTATTTGCAAACTTCTTCTAAAAGTATGAATAAATCTTTATTTTTTTCCATCCTTTAAGAAATAAAAAATTCATACGTTACAGAGTTCGTTCAGGGCAGTAATGCCACCTTATCTATTTCTGCCGCCAAGCAGTCATTTTAGCATTACTGTGTTAAACAAAGACAATAATATGTTTATGTTTTCGACGTCGAAATGCATCATATACATATAACGTCTGATTTATATATGTCAACGTAACATGTCCTTTAGTTTCCATAGTCTAAGCTGTGTCTTAGAGGATGGACTGTGTACACATGGGACTTGTGTAATTGCATCTCAGGGTGACGTTACAGTTACATCACAGCTTGAAGTTATAAAAAAAAACCAAGTTACCCTTCGTATCTTAAATAATATTATAGTTGGCGCGACAAACTACTGGCGCTTGTCACCTTTTCCATCAAAACGAGAAAATATATTAAATATATGAAGAGGTTGAATGGTGGAACCTTTGCCTATCCAAATAGATAAGGTGAAAATATAAAAAAAAACCCTTTTGCAGGATGGACAATTTGAGGAATATTAATATGAAATGTCAAAATAAAAATTCATTCAATTGCAGCCCGCGGTTTTGCATGTTTACAAACAAATTTATATCAAATTATATTAACAAATTAAAACAATGGCAGAGCCTGGAGTCATTAGGAAATTAAGCGAAGAAGTTGTGAATCGTATAGCAGCTGGTGAAATAATACAACGCCCTGCGAATGCGTTAAAAGAGTTAATAGAAAATAGGTTAGATCCAGATTTTCACGATAATTCTGAAGTTTTTATTTAATTATTGTATTAACAGTGTCTTATTTTGTAGTTTAGACGCGAAATCTACAAATATAGTTATAACTGTCAAAGCTGGGGGCCTGAAATACTTACAGGTATAAGTTTTAACTGGTGTAATCATCGTTTAGTATTTAAAGAATACTTGTGATGCTTTTATATGACTTTCAGATCCAAGACAACGGTACTGGCATACGCAATGACAACCTAGATATAGTATGCGAAAGGTTCACAACTTCTAAATTAAAGGAATTTGACGATCTAAGGCAAATTAGTACTTATGGCTTCAGAGGCGAAGCGCTAGCGAGTATCAGTCATATAGCGCATCTTACTCTACTTACGAAGACCGCAGCTGATAAATGTGCTTATAAGTATGTGAAAACACTATTATAAAGTTTAACTGAATTCTACTTTACAGGGAATTTTAAAGGTTCTTGATTAATTTGTTTCTATTTTTGACGATCTCCGTCGTCGAGAGCCTGGCGTACCGGTTTTCATGGCCGCCATTTCTATGGTCCCGGATTCGATCCCCGACTGGGTCATAGTAGGAAAACTAACTTTTGTAAATTATCTCAGGGTGTGGCTGTTAGTGACACAAGTTCTTTAGTTACTTAATTTGGGATCAAAGCAACATATGTGATGTTATCTAATATTTATATTTATTTTTTCTGAAGGTTATAGACTACTTAACATAAATGAAACAATGTAAATAAATAAAAACATTTTAAACTTAAACAATTAAATATTTTAAACAAAAGTGAATGCTGTTTTGATCATTTGAAATATATTTATTATTTGACAATAATATATTGGAATTGCACCATCGGTATAATAATGTCTGCGAAATGACAATTTTTCAGGAGAGTTTTAATTAGGTTTAAAAGATTATACAAATCAAATTACAAAAAAAATAAATTACTACGATACTTGCCTCTGTGGCCGAACGGTTACCATGCTGGACTGCCACGCAGAGGTCCCAGGTTCGATTCCCAGTCTGGGAGAAATATTTGGATGGCCTACATTTATTTCTCTTGTGAGTTTGGATGTAATTTGTTATTTATGTGTGCATCCATGACACCCGTGACACAGGGTTTCCCTAGTGCGGGGCTATGTTGAGTGTATGTGTGTTATTATTATTATTAATTAGTCAACTTTTTATGTGAATATGTATATTATTAGAATAAATTACCTATTATTTAACTTTTCAGAGCTTCTTACGAAAATGGCAAGTTAAAAGGACCAATAAAAGCCTGTGCCGGTAACAACGGCACACAAATAACAGTAGAAGACTTATTTTACAATGTTTTAGCACGTAAGAAAGCTTTGCGGAGCCCCACTGAAGAATATGCTCATATTATGGAGGTAATTCTTTTCAATATTATACACACTACCACTGCAAACAGACACCTGCAGTACCTTTTTTTTATATTTTTGCCAGCAGTAAATTATTAATGTTGGGGCGCATTTATGTGGAAAATTGTTTGGCTCAGCTAGTGGAATCTCAAATGTGTTGTACTTCAATCTTCTCATCTGTGGTCATAAACGCAATATGGAAGCCAGGTTGTTAGTATAAGTGGTAATTTTTTTCTTTATAGGATTTGGTTATTTCCTCAGTAACAGTAGGTATTTGGAGACAGTATTTTAACTTCCATAATGTGGGACTGTAATTGTTGCATAAAAGATCATCTTGTAGTCTTTTGCACATAGAAGGTTCCACTACAAAGAAATAGGTAAGGTAGTACTTCCCTCTTTACAAAGAGCTGTACTGCTGCTAAACTATTTTTACATTATATAGTATGCTGCACGGAATATAATAAATAATTATTACAGGTCGTAGGAGGCTATGCAATACATAACAGCCGTGTTGGATTCACATTGAAGAAATTTGGAGAAAACACTGACATAAAAACGCCAGTCAAATCGACTGTAGTTGAAAATGTTAGAAGTGTATGTATGTTTCAAGTATAAATTTTGGATTTGCATCATTTCGATGAAAGTTAAAGATTATTCTTACTAGAGATGAAATGGGTATCTGGTAGCTATCCGGTATCTGGCCTATTTTTACTATTCGGCGGGATACCGGATAGTAGAACAATATCCAGCCGGATGTTTAAAACTGAGAAAAATTCATAGAGTACACCAAATAAATTGATTTGTTGATTAAAGATGATAGTAATAGAATATACAGCAACTACAGGATCGTTAACAATCTGTTTATTACTTGTAACTGAAAGAATTATGAAGTTAAAAGATAACGTTATCTGTAAATTATATTGTATACTCAAATTTCAATAAAGGCAATTTATGGTGGATGAAGATCAGTTTTTTGAAATGGTAAAAGTTGGTGATATTTATTTTTATAAATAGACCCAGCTTTGCGATGTTTATACTGTTAACATTTTTCTGTTATGTAAGTGTATTATCGAATAAATTCGTCGTTTTTATAAACACCAAGTGACCACAATAAATGAAATAATAACACACACACTCAACATAGCCCCGCACTAGGGAAACCCTGTGTCGCGGGTGCCATGGACACACATAGACAACCACAAATTACACCCAAACTCACGAGAGAAATAAATGTAGGCCATACAAATATTTCTCCCGGCCCGGGAATCGAACCTGGGACCTCTGCGTGGCAGTCCGGCATGGTAACCGTTCGGCCACAGAGGCAGTTATTGGTACAGAAATGGTCAATGTGAAAATGCAATTATTCACTAATCAATCAATCATGGTGAGGCGCGCTGTAAACCGGTCGCGACATGTTTACGGCAGTGGGTCAGATATCCGGCGGCCGGATATCCGGCTATCTAGCCTGGGTGCTCGCGGAATATCCAGTATCCGGCCAAATCACTATCCGTTTCATCTCTAATTCTTACTACTCAGGAGGATTTGAAATTACTGAGTTCTACGATACAATATTTATAAATCTGATGATTGTTTTTAAACCAATATTTATAAATCTGATGATTGTTTTTTGATAAATAAATTATTAACTATTTTTTTAACTAAACAAATTGTTTTAAAGCTTGTTTGTAAAGATACCATCGTTGTTTCCCATTTCCATAACACAAGTGCTTTAGCTACGTACTTTAGGATCAGAGCAAGGATGTGATGTTGTCTAATATTTATTTCTTTATTAACCGACTTCAAAAAAGGAGGAGGTTCTCAATTCGACTGTATGCTCTTTTTTTGTATTTGTGAACCGATTTTCATGATTCTTATTTTGTTGGAAGGGAGGTACTTCCATAGTGGTCCCATTTCATTTTGCGTGGGCGCTGAATGAGGCGGTCGCGGGTTCGATTAACTGCCTCCTTAGCCGAACGGTTACCTGTCACGCAGAGGTCCCAGGTCACGGTTGACCATGTTGATGGGACCTGCAAAAGGGCCCGAAACGTCGGTTTGTTTGAACAACAAATATACGCGATTTAAATCCGGAAAAATAGTTTCATTTCCTAT